CCGAGGTCGGCAATTAAGGGACAGGCCCTTGCTGACTTCCTAGTAGAAATGACCGGTCTAACTCCAGACTTACCGGTCAACAAGCCCACTGAGCAATGGTGGGAGATGGCAGTTGATGGGGCATCCGGTCCTAGAGGATACGGGGGTGGTATCGTGTTCACCACCCCAGAAGGGTTCAAGATCTACCATGCAATCGTCTTCAACTTCAAGCTGACGAACAATGAGGCAGAATATGAAGCTCTGGCTGGAGGGCTCAGACTTGCCCAAGCCCTGAAAATTAGCCGGGTCAGTATCAAATCTGACTCTAGCCTGATAGGAGGGCAGGTGACCGGTAACATGGAAGCAAGGGAAGGACGCATGGCACAATACAAGGACCTTGTACTTGCCCTGTTGAAAGGCTTCGAAGAGTTCAAGATCGCCCAAATTCCCCGGGCGGAGAACGCGGATGCAGACCTTCTCTCCAAATTGACGCAGTATGCTCCCGAGCATGTTTCGAAACTTGCCCGGGTAGAGATCCTTGACCGTGCAAGCATCGAGAAATTGGAAGTTGCCGCTATAACTGTCGGAAGCCAGTTTGACCGGTCAAACTTGGTCGGGGTGGACGACCATTGGATGTACGATCTGATGGAATATTTGACAAATGGGAGCTTGCGAGAACAAGATGACCGGGCAAGAAAAGTGAAGCTCAGGGCACCCCGATTCCAGATTCTTGATGGAAAGCTTTATAAAAGGGCATTTGGGGGGCCACTCCTGAGATGTCTAACCAACCGGGAGGCTGAGCGAGTCATAGCGGAGGTCCACGAAGGCGTATGCGCGACGCATCAAATGTCCCAGCGCATCATCTTGTTGGGGTATTACTGGCGTTGATTGTCCAGGATTGTGAGAGGTATGTACAGAAATGTAAAACATGTCAAGTGTTCTACAAGTACCCCGGTAGACCAGCGACCTACTATCATCCCGTATCGAATGTCATCCCATTCGCTAGGTTCGGGGTTGATATCATTGGAGCATTCCCAGTCGCCCAAGGAGGGAAGAAGTTCGTGATCGTAGCCATCGATTACTTCACCAAATGGATCGAGGCCGAAGCGTTGGCCAACATTACCACGCAACAATGCAAGAAATTCATTTGGAAGAACATCATCACGAGGTTTGGAGCGCCCATGAACCTCATCACCGACAACGGCCCACAGTTCCGAAATCCGAGATTCACTGAATACTTGGAGGGCTTCGGGATCAAGCACAATCGCTCTTCGGTGGCGTACCCCCAAGGAAATGGCCAAGTCAAAAACGCCAACCGAACGATTGTGGATGGTCTAAAGAAACGGCTGGGAGAAGCAGGAAACAAGTGGCTGGAAGAGCTCCCACACATCGTATGGGCATTCCGGGTAACGCCCAGGAGGGCTCATGGGGAAACTCCATTCTCCCTAACCTATGGATGTGAAGCAAGGCTGCCCATCGAAGCTGAATTCCCAACATTCCGGGAATCAAACTATCAACCCCAGCAGAATGAGGAAGACCACTTGGCCGAACTCAACTTGGTCGAAGAGCGGAGAATGGCCGCGGAAGTTAAAATGAGCACATACCAACAAGTTGTGAAGAAGTACCATGACAACAAGGTTGGGCCACGGTACTTCCAAGTTGGGGATGAAGTCCTACGAAGAAGAGAAGCAAGTAGACCCGGCGACGGAGGAAAGCTAGCAAAAAACTGGGAGGGCCCATATAGGGTTAGAGCCATCATTCGCCCGGGGACCTACCGGTTAGATACTCTTGAAGGGGTACCGGTAGAAAGAACCTGGAATTCCCATCATCTTCGCAAGTTCTACAAATGATTGTAATACTAGGCAAGGCCTACTTTATTATCAATCAAATCGATGATGTTCAATACTCTATTTGGTAGCGGCAGGATGGATAGGTCGAACCTATCCTAGGAGGGCTTCCTGGGTGGATCGAATCCACTTGGATAAGCCAACTGAGACACAGGCCCGGACCTGGCACGCTGGTTACTACACCGGTCTTGCTCAGTATAATAGAAAAAATATTAAAACCCGGAAGAGGGGCCCGGAAGAGGGTATGCCTGCAAGAGGGCTGGACCTGGAAGAGGGTTTGAACCGTACTTACACGGGCCCATGAGGTTTGACTGGTGTCGGGGAATCAGCCGGCGCCGTCAAATTGATTGGGGACTAAAAGGATGCCCATTAAAAGAAATAGAAGGGGATCGTCCACCGTGGCGCATCCTATATCCCCCTTCTCAGGGAAGACTTGAACGGGGGGTGAGCTAAGGCCTTCCCGGGATGGTAGAAATCAAAGGGCCATTAAAAGATTTAATCGCCCGGAAGAGGGGGCCCTGGAAGAAGGGTGCATTTGAACCTTGGAGAGGGTTCGAAACCATTCGACATGGTTAAATCTCCAGTATTCTTACCGGTTAAGGATACTTCAAGAATTTTTAGGTTACAGGTGTTTCCATCTACAACCTACCGATAAAAAAAAAATAGAATACCCCGGTTGGGTATGGGCACGACAGAACTTCGAAAGTTCTACGTCCGTCGGAAGGCAAGACAGTTGACCGGTCAAACCATGGAGTTGGAATTCAAAATGCGAAAGTAAAGTTTCCAAAGTAAATTTTACCAAAAGGATTGGTGAAGTTATCCAAAATGCGAAAGTAAAGTTCGGCCGGTAAAACTTGTTACTTTGGCCAAAATGATGAAGACGTTCGAAAAGCAAAAATGGGGGTCTGACCGGTCAAAGTTACTTGAGCTAATCCTTCAGATGAAGTAATCAAAGAGAACTTGGAAGTTCCACCGGTCGAAGACAATTGGGAAGTGGCCTAATTTATGTACCGGTCAGAATTTCTATGATGGTATTCTAGGGAGCAAGATCAAAAAATAAATCAAACAAGCAAGCAGATAGGGAAGATTCACCGGTAAGAAAACAAACATGGCATTCGAATTTAAAAATGTCAAATGTTTACAAGTACGCCGGGCATACCCGGGGGAATCTCTACTAAGTTTTACAAAGAGTAACCAGGCATAGCCGGGGAGATCAGTCAAGGGGAAAGGGGGGAGTCGGCTCTTCTTCCGGGATAGGGGCCAGGCCATAGGATGCAGCGCTGAAGTTTGGATCTCTTCTGAGCAATACCCAGTGAGAGGCGATCCTGTCCTTCTTTTGACCGCTCTTGAATCCGAAGGATCCAATCGCGGTAATCATCTTCTTTCCTTCAGGCTCCCGGTACAGAAGCCTGAAGGACTCCATCGTCGTCTCTGGAGTCGCCGTCATCACCCGGGCAGCAACGGCCTTGTTCTCTTCAACCCAGGCGACAGCGCGCCCGGGGAAGGTTTCTTCCTTCTCCGCTGCTTCCCTCTGGGCCTCAGAGACTTCATCCATTAGCCGGCCATTCTCCTCCTTCAGCTGTGAGATCTCGGTCTTAAGGGCCCCGGCTAGCCCAGACAGCCCGATCAGCTCGTCAGCCTGGCTCCTCAAGATGAGGGCCATCTCCTCCTTCTCCTTCTTGAGCCGGGCAAACTCCGAGGGAGAGCCTAAACCAAGCCGGTCGGCTGTGAGGGGTCCAATCTCCCCCGCCTGCACAAAAGGAAAAAGAAGCCCGGTAAGAATGGAATAATAGCGAAAAGGGATCCAGACCGGGATAGCAGCAGAACTTACCTCCTTCAGCCTCAGCCCCAGGTTGACGAAGGCCTCTTCGATGGTCTGGCCGGCCGGCTCAGGATCTGACCTTGCCCTCTTCTTGGCATAAGAAGGGTGCGTGGTGGCCACCTTCTTCACCCGGCGACCGGCCTTCTCCTTCTCCTTCCCCTTGGACCGATCTTCTTGAGGCTCCTCTTCGTCAAGGATTTCCACGGTCTCTGGATTGACCGGGAAAGTCCTGGCAGTGTTGGTTTGGGAGCCCCCGGTCTCCCCCGCTGGTTGGTCCTCGGGGATAGCGAACTCTTCAAACTCCATATCTGCAAAACAAACTAAAAACATTAAGTACAAATAGTTTGCCCGGTCAAACTACGAAACACAAGAAGGGTGAAAAATACCTGGGTGGTTCTGGCCCTTGGCCTCTGCAGTGTTGCCCGGGGAGGGTACCCCGCGCCCCGCTGCTTCCTGGGCCTGGGAGGTACCCTCACCACCCGACTCTACCCTCCAAACCCAGCTGCCTTGATGGAAGATCCTCCCGGTTTGAGGATCCCCGCGCATGAGGATCTCGAGGTTAGCTTCCAAGTCTAGGGAGGAGGCCGGTGCAGCATACTCTTGGTCGAGTAGGTGGTCATTCCATTTCAGACCGGCCAGAGGAGTGAAGAAGGGGGGAAACTCGATGAAAACAAACTTTTCCTTCCATCCCCGGTTACTCTGGGGGACTTCGGAAATGAACTTCCTACCGGTGCGGGCTTTGAAGAATACAAAGCCTTCGCAGCCAGCCCCGCCCGGTAGGACTTCGAAGCAAAAAAGGAAAAGACGCAAAGAAGGGAAGATTTTCAGATGGGTACAGATATTTACAAAGGAATGGAGATACCGGTGGGCGTTGGGAGTTATTTGACCGGGCAAAATCCCAAACGCGTGGCATACTTCGATTAGGAGGGGGCGAAGGGGAAAAACTATGCCCGCATCCAGGGAAATGGTGTGGAACCCTATCCTGTCCTCCCGGTGGGGTTCGACAATGTTGGGCCAGTTGGGTTCGTATAGGAGAGTATACCCGTCCGGGAGCCTCCTTCGAATTTTGTTCAGGGCAATTTTGGATACACGGGAGGGGATGTCAAGGACGTAGAAGGTGGGAAGCGGAAAGTAACCGGCAGCATGAAGCCGCTCCTCCCACGCATCCCGGGTTTCGTGTTCAGGGTCATAGGGACCCGGTTCATCATCGACCGGGTCATCCCTCCCCACGAAGGTTTCACCGGGCATCTGGTTAACATGATGTGGGTCGGGAATAGAGGGGTTGGGAACCTGACCGGGCGTGGAGTCAAGAGAAGAAGACCCGATCGAGGAGGAGGAGTTGGAGTTCTCAGAGGAGCAGTCCTCTGAGGAAGAGATCCTATCGCTAAGAGAAGACATGACCGGGAAAAGTATAGAAGGAAGGGGGAACTTACTTGACTCGGAGGGCTAGATAGCGAAGAGAAAGAACTTGACCGGTGAAAGCTCTGAGACTTGATCGCGGAAAGTGAGCAGAGAGGAGGGGTGGAGGCCCTTATATAAGGAGAGGAGGGCTGAAAGAGGTGACGTGGCCTCTCCAGGTTGCGCCGCGTCAGGCGGCGCAATGATGACCCACCGGCAGGCGAAACGGCAGGTCTGCAGCCGACTGATTGCAACGGTTGATGCGCGACACGTGGCAAAAGTAAGAGTTTGAAATTCAAATTTCAAAAATTTTAGGCGGGAAGGGCCAAAATTTCAAAATTGGAGTCCTATTTCAGGCTTTTTACTTCTCGCTCATGACAAATTGCATGACCGAGAAGTGGAGGGCTTATTGATGGGTGTATTTCACCCAAGACCGGTCAAAGGAGGAGGCCAAATCTTTGACCGGTCAATCTCGAAAGTTTTAGAAGGGAGACTTAAATCGTCAGCAAAACGATATATTATCGGCTAAAGTTTGACCGGTACACTTTACAAAAAAGTATACCGGTCAAACTACGTTATCATCCTATTTATTCCAGACTTCGATGAATTCACCCCTCGGAGATTACCCGGTGTAGTTTCTGAGGTTGGAAAGTGTCGGCAGAAGAGGATCTGCGAGGGCTTGGCGTGTAGCGACCCGTGTCAGTAGAGGACAACTGGAGATGCTGAAGAATCCATCCAAGGCGCTAATCGACAAAGGGAATGATCCCCCTCACAAGGCGACAAGGCAGCTCGAGGACGAAACCAGTCACCTCGCACCACATCAGCAGCATGCCCCCTCGTGGGCGCACGTGGTCCTGTCCCCTTAGCCTAGTATAAATACTCATGTAAACCTCAGAAAGAGGGATCCGAATTCATTCTCTCTAAACTCCCTTGTAAAAGCACCCGTGCATTCTCCGTTATAATATAAATTGGGCTACAGGTGTTCCACCTAAAGTCCTACCGGTCAATCTACGAGTTTGTACCTTTCTTACTTTGCCGAATCAAGCAAACTATTCTAGACCCGGCCTAGTATAGTTTGACCGGTCAAGTAATTTACACCATCAACATCCAAGGAAATTTTCAACACCAAAATATACTCTCTTTAAATCGTTTAAAAATCAAAACCAGAAAAATTTTGTGAGACAGAATGCGTACATGCCATTTGTCGCAATGTAGGCTCTGTACATGCCATTTTTTGCTGTTTGCGATACAGGGAATTCCACATTTCCTAACTCTATTTTTTGCATGGTTTATTCTCATTATTTTTTTTGAATGCTTTCGGTTCTATTATAATGTACTCCCTTCGTCCCTGAGTATTTTTGTTCAGTATTCCTTTTTGGGTTGTCCCTCAATATTTGTCCACTTTCCTTATATGGAAAGAATAAATAAATAAAATGTCTACTATACCCTCACATCTTTATTTGTTTGAGAGTTCCTGTACGTACACATGTATACTCTCTCTATCTCTCTTATCATTGTTTCTATTCCTCTTCAGCTCTATTCCCCTTTTCAATCTTCATCTCGATCTCATCTCTGGTTTCCTTTCTTCATCTCTGATTCTCTCTCCTCCCTCATTTCTCATCTTCAATATCTGATTTCCTTTCGTCTTCAATCTCCGATTCTCCTTTCTCTGTCATCTCTCATCTTGGATTCCCCTTCTTCAATCCCCGATTCCCCTTTTTCTTTGATATCTGGATTCACTTCAACTTCAATTTTCGATTCTTCTTCAATATTTAATCCCCTTTCCTCTCATCTTCTAAGTTAATCTTTGTTGACATATGGATGTTGATCCTCTTCTACAACGAGCTGGAGCTACACGTCTTCTCTGATGCCTGCTAGTGATGGACGACATCTAGATGTCTTCCATGGCCGGATTTCTTCGAACACGGAAAATCTTCTCAAGATTTAGATTTCCAACAACTAGATTTTTTAAAATTAGTTCTAAAATACTTTTCTCAATTTTTCTTTTTGTTTTTAATTTTAAAATTGATTTGGGTTGGCCGGTGGATGGTTGGAGTTGGACGGTGGAGATTGTTGGGGATGACGATGGATTGGGAGGCTAGGTAGTGTGGCTTTGGACGGTGAGTCAGTGATTACCGCAAGAAGACATGAGGGCCCAACGACTTGCTAGTTAGACAAGGCCTAAGGGTATTTGTGTCTTTAGACACCTTTTATTGGTTATTGTGCCAAAGTGAAAGTGGACAAAAATTGGGGGACGGAGGGAGTAATATCTATTCAAACATTTTTTTCAATCTAATGACACACAAAGAGTCAATGCTTTGGTATCTGCTGAGAGCTTGAAACTAGGTGAACTTTCCCATGAATAATAAGGAGTCGGCTTCATACCACTCTAGGGGAGAAGTTTCTAACCTCATATAGAGAGAATGCTGCATTTCCTAACCCTTCAAAAGAAATGAATTAATTGAAAAATGTATACCACATTCTTACTCCATTATCATTAATTAATATGCTTTCTTTGTGTTAGGAATGTGTTTGATATGGTCATTAATAGACTTTCTCACCCCATTGACATTAATAAAGAAAAGAACACCGTTGAACAATTAGCTATACTGTTTAAAAATAGGAAAAAACGCACGCCCATAATATATGGCGAATTATACACATACACTATTATTTCAACTTTCTCTTTTGCACGCTAATAATTCAAGAAATCACCAGATTTTACATTCCTACTTCAGCTCGGTTGAGTTAACTTTGGGTCAATTATGTAGAGTTATTTTGACTAACATGTCAAAAAAATTAATTACTTTTTAATGGCAGATTGACATTAAGCATTTACATATTCAAGTTTAGTGATTACCATTTGTGAGTGCAGACCATTTAGGCGGGAAAATGAAATGTGGGTTTCCCCGCATTTTAAATAAAGTTTAGATACAGAGTATTCATTAATTATTTATTATTTTGTTCCAAAAAATCATAACTATATTTTATTAATAAAAATCTCTTCCATTTATTTTATTGCTCATTTCAAATAAATATTTCATTTGTCTCATCCTTTTCTTCTTATTTAACTTTTTATGGTCTTCAATATAATACTTTGATCATTAATATCTTTATTTATATATAAACATATATTATTCAATTAAAATTTATTTTGAGGACAAAGATAATTTTTTTAATAAATTGCGACATTACATTAATACGGAGTATTTTATATTTTGTCAAGATAAATAATAATGATAATAATAATAATAGTAAAAGTAATAATAATAATAATAATTAAAGCAACAATAAAAAATTTAAAAATAATAATAGTAATAATAATAATATGAAAAATATACATAAATAATTTTCATAAACGCTGTTAGAAGAAACTGAATGGAGTTGAAAAAACTAGTAGGAAATGAAAGAAATTGAAAAGAGTTGGAAGAAGATGAAAGGAGTTGGAATAACTTGAACGAGTTGAAAAAAACTCAAAGAAGTTAAAAAAACGAAAAGAAGTTGGAAGAAACTAGAAGTTGGAAAATGTTAAAAGTTAAGAGTTAGAACTCAAATGTACAGAGTATCACTAAGTTTCTCAACTCTTTATCATTTTAGTTTTCTCAACCATCCATCTTTATCTTCATCTAGGTTGTGAAATTGGAGCATAACTTAAAAACTACAAGAATAAATAGAAAAATGAATACAAGACCGCCAACAAGCAAAATATGATTTAGGGTTACAAATAGGTCAGCGGTTGGTCTATTTCACGACATAGATGAAGGAGAGAATGAGAGAAGGGTATTGAGAAACATAAATTGAGGAAGAGATGAGAAAACTAACTAAGAACGATTAAATAAAGCTAAGAGAATGTTAGAATAAATGCTCAATGCTAGAGGGGGGAAATACCGTTTATGAAAAAAATTGCAGGAATTTAAAAAACGCAGTGAAGGAAAGTAAAGAGAGTAAGGAAGGAGCGCAACGTATTTTATATTGGTTCACCATAACTTTTGGCAAATCCACTCCTCTGAGAGACTCTCTCAAAATTTCTACTAACTTCGTTAAGATTAAAAGTGCTTAACAAACCAATACAACTTGAGAACTCAAGTCACACGAGCCTCATTAACGCCACTTGCTCGGAGATACCGCACTCCAAGACTTCACACGAAGGAGCGAAAACTTTCTTCGAGCTACAACAAGGGAACAAACCTCCCTTCAAGTGTATTAAAACACTCAAGCACTTGATTTTTTAGTTTTTCGGTAAGTCAACCTTCCCAATGAAGGGTTAGTTTTCTCTGAGTGTCGTGTCTCTTGAGGAGTGGACAAAGGAAATTAGCTAATTTTTCTAACTAGGCAAAGGTTAGGACGGGTCTGAAAGTCTTCTCGGTTCGATTTGAAAATAAAAATACTAAACTACTTGATGCTTTTGAGAAAAAGAAAATAAATAGTACGGGTATATGACTGGACTTCGAGCCAAGGCATCATCTGGGTTAACTACTGTTGTCACATATTTATTCAATAATTGGAATAAATATATTTCTGTCACAAATATTTCATTTACTTATCCTCTCTCAAGGTATCATTAATGTATTCTAAAAAGTTTGACGTAATTAATTTTATATCCTCACGGACAAGGTAAAAACTAATTTCAAATTATTAATTAAATTTTCTCTCGACATAATTAATTAATTTAACATAAAAAATAATTCTAGAACAATTATTCCAACTATTAAATAAACATAAAGAGTATATGCCCAAATTTAGCTAGGACCCTAATTCAGGCCTAACCCATACGAGATATTAACAGTGCATAAAATAAAAGAACATTTTATCAAAATTTGTAAAAATAAACTTACAATCGGGAGCAGAGCTGGGGCCTCTTCGGGACAATCGGGACAAAACTAAACTAAAAATATAACTAAAAACGGGACTAGAAAGGTGATCCGGGCCTTAGAAAACCTGGAGGGAGCTGATGGGGATGATGATTATTTCTCGCCGATCTGCGCCTTATCTAGGCATGCAGATTTCCAGGGTGGGCTCTGGGGTGGCCGCCCGGCAGGTCGCCCTAGCCGCGACGCGGTTTCCTCTGCCGGTTGTTTCGCACAAAACCACGGGCGCTAAATTTGGTCTTCAATTCCGGGGCTGGTTCCGGGGCAGGCGCCCGGGAGGTAGCCCCATCCAACTTTTGCTGTTTGACTCCAAATTTCTGCGGTGAGTTCCTTATTTTGTGTTGAATATTTTTCCCTTCTGAAGCAACGGACGAATTTGGCCTTAAGTGTTCCGAAAAATTTATTTCCTTAAAGTTTTACTCCGTTGAATTCCTTTTGCACAATCTTTTGCACTTTTGTACCACATTTGACTCAATTTTTATTCTTTTTACAACAAGACATAACTTTTGTGCACTTTTACAATCATGAACAAAAACTTACAAAAACCTTTGAGAAATTGATTTATTTGATCCAAAATTGTACAATAACACATTAAATATAAAGAAGATAAGTGCGTACAAAACGGACTTATCAGCACTCAAGAACAAAACTCTATTATAGAGTAGATATGAGTAAACAAATGAACACTTAAGAAACCAAGGTTGAAAAAAATTGTGCATGGTATTAAATAGAGTTGAAGTCATAAGTCACGTGTTGACCACTTGAGCGTTTTTCACGCGCTTAGACCAATGACCATCATACATAAATGGTTTTTATAAAAATATTGTTTGGGATCATTTTAAATATGCCCAGATGTAAAAACCAAGTATAAAATATTTAAAACCACTTAGTTGGTTCAGACGCCGAAAACCAGACGCTGAACACCGAACACCGAATGCCGAACAACGAATGCTGAAAAAGGTTTGATGCATAAAAAAGGTTTCATGATTTTATAAAAAATATTTTGAATCTCGAGAACCAAGACTTGATTGGATTGTCGGTTTTTTATCACAATAAGACCGACTTAACTAAGTCTTCAAATCTTGATCTTGTTCTTTATTCTCTGGGTCTTTTGTCATGCCTCACTTCACGCCATGAGTTATTCAACTCTTCATATCCACGACACTTTGGCAATTACCAAAACCTATCAAAAATGAACACGACTTTAGTTCTAAGCAATGTAAAGTGTGTTCCAAAAATTTCCTCTTTTTGATAATGACAAACAAGACGAGGATATGCATATGTTTTTGATCATTTTTAAAAAATTCCCCCTTAAAATATGCATACCCCTTATCTTCCCCCTTTTGACATTAATAAAAAGATTTTAAAACATAAAGATTTTATTTATTGAAGGGAAATGCGGAGTACACTACGAAAGCATTAAAAAAACATAACATAAGATAGGTAGAGAAGAAAATGAGCTAGTGCTCTAGAAGTCATCGGAGCAAGAATCATCCTCATCTTCCTCTTGTTCTTGTTCTTCATCACTATCGCCTTCACTCTCTTCATCTTCATCACTCTCTTCGTCTTCATCATCCTTTTCGTCATCCTCAACATTGACATTGTCGTTAAACCCACTTGATTGACCCGTAACTCCAAAGTTTGAAGGGTTGTTATAAGGAACAATTTGGGCGTAGGGGTAATTGACGAAGTTGAAGTAGCCATGAGGAGACCCAAGGTTTGATGAGGGTACAGGAGCTTATCAGCAAGGACACGATGGAGGAAAGGGAACGTCTTTGATGCCCGAGTGGAAAGACAACTCGTCGATCTCCCAATGTTTGGTTCCCTTTTGTTTTGGCCCAACATCCGGCTTGATGTTGTACTCTGTTGGGAAAAAATATAGATTTTGATGATGATGTATTTAGATTGTAATAGGGACTTTAGGTCACCCCAATATTCAATGTAATTTTCTTTTTAGAAATTCTGTTAAAACCGAGTTCTTGAGATTTCCAATATAACTTGTGATATTTCACTTTTGTTAGAATAAGAGACCAACGCTAGAGGGGGGGTGAATAGCGTTTGATCGTAGAAATTGCAGGAATTAAAAACTTAAAAGAGAAGTAAAGAGAAGAGTAAGAGGCACACCGAATTTTACCCTGGTTCACCACAACTTGTGGCTAATCCAGCCTCCCGAGAGACTCTCTCGAGCTACACTACTATCTCGTTAAGCTTGCGGGTGCTTAACAAACCATTACAACTTGAGAGTTCGAGTTACACGAACCTCAACGAGTCCTTCAAAGGAAACATCCCTTCCTTTGAATCTACCGAGAGAAATACTTTCTCTCAAAGTGTCTAAGAACACGAATACACTCAAGAACGAGGCTGTCTATAGAGTAGATTATGAGTAAACTAAGGACGCTCAAGAACAACTCAACCTCCACACAAAATGGCTCCTGAAAGCTATGGAAAATGATGATATTTGAATGCAATGAAAGTATGCAAGTTGTGAAGTTGAATTGATGAGAAAAGGAGACCCAAACACCCCTTTTTATAGTGTCAAAAATAGGCTCCAACGGACCAATGCATTAAAGGGGTGATTAGCTTGATTTATGGGATTCAAAAGATTTGGGATCTGCAGAATATTAGCTTCTCAGCGATGTATGGACCTTACCCATCGCTGGTAGGCCAATTTTCCTTCAGTTTTGAAGCCAACGGTCACCTACCCATTGATGGGTACATGCTTCCCATCGCTGGGTGGGAGGTTGACTTCCAAACAAGGAAAGAATCAACCTTAAATGACATACAACGGTCATGCCTTTCCATCGATGGTTAAGCCTTCCCATCGCTGGGTTCCCATCGATGGGTAAGGGCATTCTGCCTTGTGATAATGTTGGACCAAGGCTTTAACAGCGATGGGTAGAACCTCCCATCGCTGTTTGGCATGGTTCTGGAAGTTGGTTTGGCTAAGGGGCTGCTTACCCATCGATGGGATGTTCTTCCCATCGCTGGGTGGGTGGTTAGCCAAAAACCTATGGTTTTTGCCTTAACCACGGCCTAGCCAACCGATGCAAAAACCGACCGAAAAATCCAAAGTTCTCCAAAATAAAAATCAAGTGTTTAAAACACTTATTTGATGTACTTGGATAAGAAATCAAGTGAGACACTTTAAAAATCACGTCATTTGAGTAAAAACCATGTCTAGCCAAGTTTACGCCGTTTTGCGTGGTTTTTGTCAAACGACTAAAAGCGAGAGATGGTTTTCAAAGTGTTTTTGTTGGAGAACCGTTTAAACATGCCAAAGAGTGAAAGAAGATCATAAAATGCTGAAAACCACTTGGTTGGTTCAGATGCCAAAAACCAAACCCGACAACCGAAAGCCGAATGCTGGTTTCTGAAAGCCGAACACTGGATGACTTGGTTTTTGGTTTGGGCGATCACCAAGTGTTTTTAATGACTTAAACAAGTTTGAAAAACATTTTTATGATGTAAGAAATGAAATGAGAGATTTTAGCCTAAAGAGCCAAGGTGGAAAGATTGGGTCGGTCTTGATCACAATAAAGACCGACTCAATACTATGACTAAGGTCTTCGTTCTTGGTCTTCGTTTAGCTCTTGCTCTTATCTTCGTTCTTCGCCTTGTATATTCAATGTTCGACTTGATCACAGCGGTTTGGCATTATCAAAACCTGTTACAAAAACGAACACGGCTTTAGTACAAAAACGTGACAAGCCCGTGTTTCAACAATTTCCCCCTTTTTGATAATGGCAAACGAGATGAGGTTATGCATAGGAGGATTGTTTTAAAAAAAATGTTCCCCCTTAATAGATGCCATTTTAGCAGGTAAAAAAAATTCCCCCTCAATTTATGCATAACCTTAATATCTTCCCCCTTTTGACATTAACAAAAAGAATTAAAAGTGAACTTTAGAGTTTAAAAGTAAACTTTTATTCATTTAAAAAGGAAAATGTGGAATACAATGGAATGGAAATAAAAAATACAATCATAGTAAGGAGAGAAGAGAAAAGAAGAGTCTAGGCATCGGCGTCCTCGTCATCGTCGGCATCCTCGTCGTCCTCGACGTCCATGGGATCCCCGTCGACCGCGTCCTCAAAGTCGGCTTCGTCGGGGGAGGAATACGGAGCATAGGAGTTATCCTCTTCGTCCTCGCCTTCATAGTTTTGGCCGAGGAAGGTGCTATAAAAGGGCGGCGGGACGTAGTTGATGCCGCGGAAGAACGCCGTCATGTCGTGGTGTTGGCGTTGCAACGTCCAGTCCATCCGCTCAATTGACTGCCCCATGCCATCCACTGTGAGGGTTAGCCGATTCAGAGTATCTGCTATAGATTGCAAAGAGGCCTTGGCGGGAGCGGGGGCTGGTGCATGACTTGGCCCTTCGCCGTCCCTTTCTCCGGACTTCTTCCGGAAGGTGCTGTCTTGAATGATCCAAATCTTTGTCATCTTCGTATCCGGGCCGGCGATGGAGATGTCGGCGGAGATGATGAGGTCCATGACGAGGAAGGCGTATGGCAAGCTCCGCTCCGTGGTGATGGAGGCGTAATCCGCCATGTGGATCATCACGAATTTTGCCCAATTGATGAAGGCGCCGTGGATGATGGCGTGAATCGCCTTCAAGTCCTCGTTGAAGAGCGAGGTATGGCTGCTGTCCCGGGGGCGGAGAATCCGGATGATGATGTAGAGGAGGAGGCGCTTGTCCGGTGGGGCCGAGTGGATCGTCGGCGCGCCGCTGTGGCGGATCAAGTTGGTGATCCCAAGCTCACGAATGACGACTGCCTTGTTGTTGAGGATCCAATCGTCGCCACCATAAGTCGCGATGTCGTCACCGCGGATGGGCAGCCCTGCGACCCGAGCAAAGGTAGGTAAATCAATCTCTATGTCGTAGAGATTGATGCTGCTGCGAATGGTGTCCCCGTCATGGCGGAGATTGGAGTAGAAGGCCCGGACGAAAGCGGGATTGAAGCTCGAGCGGCTCGTGGAGACGAACGACCACAGACCCGACGCTTGAAGCTGATTGTCGAGGTCGTGGTACCCCTTTTGTTGAGGGTACAACTCGGGCAGGACCCTAGGTGGAGAAATGGGACGCTTGGCAAAGTGCGTGAGGAACCGGTTGAGTTCCTCCTCCGACCCGAACTCAAGAAACAAGCTGTCCAGGTAGGGGAACGGCGGGGGCACTGAGTTCGTAGCTTCGGCGTTGCCCTTCTTCTTGGAAACCTTTGTCCTCTTTCCTTCGGCCATGATTGAAGCAAAAAGATGAAGAATTATGTAAAAGAGGAGATTTTGATGTGAAAAATGTGTGTTAAAATGAGTAGAGATGAAGGATATATATAGGAAAGGGTGAGAAATTCGTTTGAATTTAAAAAAAGTGACTGTTGGGCAATAAATTCGGTGACCAATGGTTAAAAAATTTGAATTTGCAGCAGACTTCCCAGCGATGGGTGGAACTTCCCATTGATGGGAAGGTCGACACTGGAAAGCGAAGGAGAAAACAAAGGCTGCCTTCCCAGTGATGGTAAAACTCACCCATCGATGGGAAGGTGGCTACTGGAAATCCGATAAAACGCTTTAAAAAAAAGTGTCAAACACCCACCGATGGGAGAAAGTTCCCATCGATGGGTAGGGAGGTTCTGGAAAAAAAATTTTGAAACTAAAAACATTCACCCAGCGATGGGATGAAATACCCATCGATGGGTAAGGTGTTTCTCGAAATCCGTTAAAAGTTTTAAAAAAATAGAGTCAATTACACATCGATGGGAGAAAGTACCCATCGATGGCGGCTTCAAAAGTGTAAGAGTCGGAAGAAGGGATACATACCTCTTGTACTCCGTTGACGTGGTCTTCGTGTGCCATGAGACAGAGGTTGGCGGCTTCTTCCTCTTCTTGATCCGTTGACTCATCCCCGGAGTCGCCACCCCATGAGATGTAGGCGCGTTGCTTTTTGAAGCCAGGTTTGTCCTTGCCGCTTTTGCCTTTTGGACACCTCGGCTTGATGTGGCCTATCTCACCACAGCCATAGCACTTCAGGGGACCGTCGTCCTTTCTTCCTTTGCGCTCAAATTCCTTCTTCATAAATTTGTGGAATTTCTTGATGACGAGTCTGAACTCGTTGTCGTCATCGCTTGAGTCTTCTTCCACGGTCTCCTTGGTTGCTTTCAGTGCTATTCCCTTCTTCTTTTGTTCATCCAAAGACGGAGTTAGAATAGTAGATTCATAAGTTTTGAGGTTACCTCTTAGCCCGTCGATGGTGATATTGGAGACTCCGATGGATTCGTAGATTGCGTCAGCCTTTGATCTCCATTCGGGTGTGAGACTACGCAGGATTTTCCTCACAAGGTCCTTGTTGGCGTACGTCTTCTTGAGAGCATGAAGGTCGTTGATGATCTTTGAGAACCGATCGAACATGTCATCGATCTTTTCGCCTTCCTTCATCCTGAACATCTCGTACTCCTGCGTTAGGAAGTCAATTTTGGCTTCCCGAACTTGGTCCGTACCTTCATATGTGACTTCCAGCTTGTCCCACATTTCTTTTGTAGTGGTGCAGCAAGAGATCTTGCGATAATCATCAGGATTGACCGCACAGTACAGCATGTTGATTGTCTTGGCGTAGTTCTCCACCTTCTTGATGTCTTCGGCATCAAATTCGTCTTCGGTCTTTGGGACGAGTTTTTCATCAACCTTCTTCATTGGCGTTTCTTCGCCGTTTTTGATGACCAACTACAACTGGAAGTTGGTTGAGCGGATATAAATTCTCATCCGCTCTTTCCAATATGTGTAGTTGGTGCCGTCAAAAAGCGGTGGCCTAGATGTTGATTGACCTTCTCCAATTCCTGCATAAAGATTTCTAGAAGAAGAACCCATGGTCGCTTTACTCTCAAACGGTTAAGTTTAGAGGCGAGTTAGGCTCCGATACCAATTGTTAGAATAAGAGACCAACGCTAGAGGGGGGGGGGTGAATAGCGTTTGATCGTAGAAATCGCAGGAATTAAAAACTTAAAAGAGAAGTAAAGAGAAGAGTAAGAGGCACACCGAATTTTACCCTGGTTCACCACAACTTGTGGCTAATCCAGCCTCCCGAGAGACTCTCGAGCTACACTACTATCTCGTTAAGCTTGCGGGTGCTTAACAAACCGTTACAACTTGAGAGTTCTGTTGGAACACGGGTTTACGCCTTACGTCGTACTAAACTGTGTTCGGTTTTTATGACAGGTTTTGATAATGCCAAACCGCCACGACATATCGAAGCTAAAGTGAGCAAAACTAAGGCGAAGGAACATGGCATGATGACTTGAGAACCAAGAACCCAGAATCAAGAACGAAGAACTAAAATCGTATTGAGTCGGTCTTAATGTGATCAAGACCGGCACAAAGTTCCAAATCTTGGCTCTCTAGGCTCAATTCATAAAAATCTCTTTTACATGTTCAAAACTATTTTTTCTTAAGTTTAAACTTGGTTCAAAACACTTGGAGTTCGCCCAAGCAAAAAACCAAGCCATCCGGCGTTCGGCTTTCAGAAACCGGCATTCGGCTTTCGGTTTTCGGCATTGGTTTTTGGCGTTCGAACCAACCAAGTGGTTTTCAACTTTTCATGACTGGTTTTTATCTCTGGGCATATTTAATTAGTTCTCCAACAAAAATGCCTCAAAAACCACTCTCCGTTTTTTGTCGTTTAGTAAAAACCATGCGAAACGGCACGAACTTGGTTAGCCGTGGTTTTCAACTAAATGACGTGGTTTTCAAGATGTTTTACTTGTTCTCTTAGCAAAATGCAATAAACAAATGTTTTCTAAACTTGGATTTTATTTTGGAGAACTTGCATTTTTTGATATCGGCTAACGGCGTGACTAAACCAACCATGGTTCTGGCTAAACCAGCCCAACAGCGATGTTGAGGTAATCAACAACGCTCTCCGGACTGGGTAGCTAAAAACATGGTTTGGCGTTAAGTCTTCCAACAGCGATGTTGGTCACTAGACATCGCTGTTGAGCCAAGGTTGGATTTCCAGAAACTTCTGGAGCAGCGATGTAGGCTTCCCTACAGCGCTGTCCAACCTAAGCCAAAAATGTAGTGCATTGGCAGAAAGTTTTTGGACAGCGATGTTGACCCAGCAACAGCGCTGTCAGGCCAAACTTCCATCTCCAAAGGCAGACCTAAACAGCGATGTTCTAGGATAGAACATCGATGTAGAGACCTGACCGTTGGAAGGAATTTAAGGCTAAAACTTTCCTTGTTTGGAAGTCAACAGCCAAAACAGCGATGTAGGGGTTTTGGACATCGCTGTTGGCATGACCGTTGCTTCCCAATTTTTAAAAATCAAGCCTAGAACAGCGATGTCCAAGCCTAGGACAGCGCTGTCTAGGTGAATTTCAGCAGATCCAATTTTAATCAAATCCCACAAATTATGCCAATCACCCCTTAAATACTTTGGTCCGTTGGAGCCTATTTTTCTACTATAAAATGGGGTGTTTGGGTCTGTTTTACACATAACATTACTTCACAACTCCTACTCTTTCATTGCAAATCATTCTTCAATTTTTCATAGCTTTTGAGAGCCATTTTTGTGAAG